AACGTAGAAAATGAGGAGAGCTATAACATGACCTGGAATTACAAACAAGATCTTTTTTTATCATTAACAGGTCCTCCACAGAATGAAGGACTAATTTACATACCCTTACCTGAAAACTAGACACTCGAGCATTATCAACTTGGTAATTAAACAACCAAACCTAACCTAACCAAACCTAGCCTAACCTAATCTAACCTAACCAAACCTAGCCTAACCTAATCTAACCTAACCTAACCTAAGATGAAGGAGAAGAAATAGAATTGTGGGGAGGAGGAAAATACGAGATGAGAAAGGAAGAGACGATTAGAGGAGAAAGGAGGATAGGGAATGAGGGAGGAGAAAGGAAAGTAGACTAATAAGGAGGAGGAGGAGGTAAGGGAGGAGGAAGAGGAGGAGAGGAGGAGGAGGAGGAGGAGGAGGAGGAGGAGGAGGAGGAGGAGGAGGAGGAGGAGGAGGATAGACTAAAGAAAAAAATATAGGAGAAAAAAACGGATACGTGCGTACAATGACTAAGAGAAGGAAGAACAAGGAGAAAACGAAGAAAGAAGAAAGAAAGAAAGAAAGAAAAGAAAGAAAAACACACCTGTCACCTGTCTCTTTTATCCAGGTGAAAGTTCTCCTGTGCTTGAAGATCTGAAACTCGTGCCTTGAATAAACATACCCCCCCCCCCTCATTTGAGTCACACATTCACCGACTCACCTGTTGGTTACTCGGACATACATACATACATACATACATAAAAAGACACATGGAAGTACAGGCCCATGCACTCACACAAATGCACCCATACAAAAACACACACACACACACGTAAACTCACACTAATACAGTCTTGAAAGTTTTACTCCCGATACACAACGAGTTGAGAAAATTTCAAGCACGTGAATTTCCACACAGATGAAAGAGACAGACAGACAGACAGACAGACAGACAGACAGAGACAGACAAACAGACAGACAGATGCATGAGCTGAGAGAAGCGAGATAAATCTGTGTGTAATGGACTGTTGAAAAGAAGGAAAACTGTCAAAAATTTCCAGCTTTCACCTAAGTCAGTCACTCCTATGAACTGACAATCCTGACTGACTGACTGACTTAATTTTTAATTGACTGACTGACTTAATTTTTCACTGACTGACTGACTGACTGGCTGACTGACTCGGTGAAAGATGTCTTAGCTGAGAAATGACATGATATACAGGTAACAAAGGTGAATTAATCTCAGGTGTACAAAAAAATTCTACAATAATATTCTCAGTTCAGATTTCGAAATAAAATCTTCCTCACCATAAAAAAAAAAATCATATTATAATCGAGTTTTATTTACAATGAAAAAAAAATATGGTTAAAATAAAAATTTTATCAAATCACTGTGGTGCTAAGTTGACAGAATTTTAGTATTTAGTAGATCAATATAACGTAAATCATTTTTATAATACTGTACTATTACTTTTTGGTGATGATAATAATAATAATAATAATAATAATAAAGCTCACGTCTCCTCTCATCTCTTCCAACTAGATCATTTCCCCCACATCACTACAGTCGTGGGTCATCTCTGCTATAAAGGAGAATATTTAACCTCAAAATTTTTCAACAACACAAATATTTCCGGTTGATTATTTATTTTCATTGTAACATCATACACTCCACTGATTAATAATGAATTGGTATGACACAATAATTCACGCCTTTAATCACTATACAAATACTCAAAAGAGTTTAATTATACTCATGATATATCTCATTTACAATATGTTAGAATTTGGTAATGCTGTCAGTGTAGTTATCTATATCCGGGTCATGAGCTTCGAATTGACCCAAAAATGCTCTTACTAATTACCTATGACCTTACTGTTTTCTTCGCAACTTCGCCACTATATTTAATCAATATCTAGACACATGATAATAATACCTGTATCACACCTTGGCCTGGAATAAGTGTCGAAGTAATTTACATACCATCAACCTGTCGTCTACACAGTTCTCATACATCTCTTTGCAGGACAGCCAACAGGTGAGTGAGTAATTAAGAGGAGACGTATTGCTGTATTTGACATGAGAGATGGTACAGTAATTTCCTCTCAGGCGGGTGGCTTCAAACTGACTTAATGACCCATATATTAACAAGACAAATAGTGAGAAAACTAACGAGAAATTACAATCTTCAAGTTCATTTAGAGGGAAAAAATTATATATTATTCAGAGCATTTTTTTCTCTATTGATTCTATTACTTGACTAACTGACTTGACTGATTAAGAGATAGAGAGAATTTTCCTTCTTCACCTCGAGCTGTGGATATAAGAACCAACACAACAATACTCCTTCATTGCATTATAAACTCCTCCATTTCTTGTCAATAGGAACACGAGATATACAATCAAGGATTCAATTACATAAGAACATAAGAATGGAGGAAACTGCAGCGGGCCTATTGGCCCATACTGGGCAGTCCCGATTAGTGAAGGGTTAAGCTTTTATCCCAATGTGTAATACAACTCTTTGAAGTACACCAGATGAAGCACCATACTAGATGAAGCACCATACTAGATGAAGCACCATACTAGATGAAGCACCATACTAGATGAAGCACCATACTAGATGAAACACTATACCAGATGAAGCACCATATTAGATGAAGCACCATACTAGATGAAGCACCATATTAGATGAAGCACCATACTAGATGAAGCACCATAATAGATGAAGCACCATACTAGATGAAGCACCATACTAGATGAAGCACCATACTAGATGAAGCACCATACTAGATGAAGCACCATACTAGATGAAACACTATACCAGATGAAGCACCATATTAGATGAAGCACCATACTAGATGGAGCACCATGCAGATGGAGCACAATACCAGATGAAGCGCTATACCAGATGAAGCACTATACCAGATGAAGCACCACCTTTAGCCATGTTTACTGTCCCTCACAAAGCTCTTATTTTTTCTCTTTAATCCACCAATAAAACACCCAGTAAAAACATTGGCAGTATGTTTAATACACTCCAAGGATCATCCAAATTGGGTCTCTCTCTCTCTCTCTCTCTCTCTCTCTCTCTCTCTCTCTCCAACCTAACCTAACCATTAGTATCGGAACACCAATCACTAAAATCTCATCCAAGTGGTTTTAAATTAATATTATTATTATTTTTATTTTACAGTATTCAAGGAACCTCTCAAATCACAGGAACGAACACACACACACACACTTTCTATTGCAGCCAGAGGAAAAAAACTGCCACGTAATTAAAATAAATAATAAAATTTAATATGAAAGGACTCCAGGTGTAAAAATCTCTCTTGGTATTTTGCAATCATCTTGAGGCTTCTGTAACATTAAAATGAACAAATTACGTAATATATAATAATTAATTTTCATACTCGAGTAGCAGGTAAATTATATACATTAGTTAACTGCCGACAACACAATCCCTTATTAATGCTCTGAATCCTTTTGTAGATTCCTTATGGGTGGGATCAAGTACTGTTTACATTTTCGTTGTTGATGCTCGTTCCCTCACCGGCATATAATCTATGCCCCATGACGGTAACAAAAAATACAATTTATTCTCAAGAAACATAAGATTTACATTATTTTGCAAGTGGCTTTATTAGCATGTCAACTGTTTATTCAATTAATATTCTACCCGGGATTATTGAACCAAGATATAACGAACGTTAATATAACCCCAGATCGTCGGAAATCTTCACAGTATGGTTGTGGCATTGAGGTAACATTACGTCTAATCATCAAAGGAGCTCCGTTTTCTAAGTAATTTAACACAGGTAGCACAGGTATGATTAGAATGATTACATGAATACATTTTGTACTCACTTTGCTTCCAACGTATGATAAACTGAGTGGTATACTTTTCAAACGTTAAGCCGATCCCACGAATGATTATTATCATACGAATTTATCATGTCGGTCACTGCCCATGTAACACCTTATGAACTATGGTTATAAGAACACACAAATAATAATGAGAGCCTGATTGAATTTCCTGTCCCTGTATACTGTTTAATACCGAGACGTTTCATTGTATCGAATCACGAGACCTTCCCTGCTTCAAATTACGAGACGTTCTACTGTGATGACTCATGAGATTTTCTCCCGTTTAACATCACAATACGTTTAGTGTTTCGAAATTATTAAAAAGTTTTAGCGGCATGTAAACAACAATTATGAAAGGGTGTCTCAGAAAAATGTATATAGACACTACCTTACAGATCTTCATCAAGGTCGTGTGAATGTTTGAATTACAACAGCAACATTTACCTCACTTGTTACTGCCACAAGAGAGGACATTGTGGCTGTATGTGAAGTCCCTGTTTAAACTTGTTCAAGTGTTCACTGTACGAGGTAATTCTTCCTTACTCTTAATTATGGATGACCCAGAATGATCACGAGTGAGATAGAAAGAAGGAATGTGTAGGAATAGGTAGATAAACGGATGGAGAAGAAAGGGTGAATGTCGAGGCGGCCACTGTTTACAGGTTGGGGTAACTCGATTACACCACGACAGCCACTGAGTGACTACAGCCACTGAGTGGCGACAACCTCTGAGTGACTACAGCCTCTGAGTGACAACGGCCTCTGAGTGACAACGGCCTCTGAGTGACTACAGCCTCTGAGTGACAACGGCCTCTGAGTGACAACGGCCTCTGAGTGACAACGGCCTCTGAGTGACTACAGCCAATGGGTGACTACAGCCACTGAGTGGCGACAACCTGAGCGACGGCAGCCTCTGAATGACGACAGTCACGGCGTGAAATTATCTTCTGAGTGACGACAGCCACTGAGTGACAAAAGACAGCGAGTGACAACAGTCATCAGTTACGACAGGCAACAGATAGCAGACAATATTAACGACAGCTCCGAGTAACTATAGTCGCAAGTAACGGCAGCCACAAGTAACGACAGCCACGAGTAACTTTAGTCGTGAGAAACGACAGGAGTATTGGCGAGAGTTGGGGCAGCCTACCTGGTGTTGTGTGAGGCAAGGAGGTGGTCTTGCCGGCCACTGACTCACACACGTCCTCTCTCTACCGGGGCTAGCCGGGAACTCGCGCCCGGACCCTCCCTCACGCGCCTCCTCTTCCTCCCTCTCCTCCTCCTGCTGCTGACGGTGTGGCGCGGGTGCCTTTGCTTGCTGTTGATGATGCTGTCACTGGGGCTGTTTTCTCCTCGGGATAGCCAGGTCTGTTACAACTCACTGAGGGCTGAAGGTGCATACGAACTGTTGTTAATATTTTGTCGGGTTCCTCTTCCTCTTCTTCCTCCTTCTCCTTGTGCTTTGGGATCTAAATGCTCCTCATTCTCTTCCTTTTCTTCTTCTTTAACCTTCTCTTCTTCCTGTTTTTCTTCCTCCTCCGAGTACCTTGGGTTGTACATTTTTCTTCTCCTCTTCCTCCTTCTCCTCGTGTTTCTGGCCTTAACTCCTTCTTCTGTGAGCATAGTCCTTCCTCTTCCCCCTCCTCCTCCTCCCACACCTACCTCCTCCACCTCACCCAATGAGACAAAAAACGCCACTGTGGGCGGAAGACAGGCGAACGTTCGTCTGAGGTGGAACTGAAAGACACCACGGTGAGGCTGGCTCGGGGAGGGGGGGGAGGTAAGGCGAGGAGAGGAGGGGGGTGGTAAGGAGAGGATGGGAGGGGGGTAAGGCGAGGAGGGGAGGGGGGAAGGCGGGGAAGGGGAGGGGGAGCGAAGGGAGAGGGTCGGATAAAGAGTCAGTCTCAGTGTATTTACGACGCCATCTTTGTGCTCTGAAATGAACCACCAATCAGAAGTCGATGTGAGCGTTTAATTAAGATTTTAGTAATCAGTGTGTGTGTGTGTGTGTGTGTGTGTGTGTGTCATACTACATGGATACTGAATAAGATTAATTACCAACATAAACACTGACCTCCCTCACACTTAAATCAACACTTACATGATACTTATAACACTGAGAGCCATTACACTTACAATACAAATATGACAATGACAAGTAACCTCCCTCACACCATAACAGTCGTGGCCTTATGGTTTATTCACCTTATATAGTCACATATAATGACCTAATGACACTGAACACATTGTAGCACTAACATTAATGATAAACTCGTACAATAATAATAACAAACTCGTATGATTATGACCAAAAACTCGAATGATGATGATAAATTCGTACGATAATCATGACAACTCCGTACGATGTTAACAAATTCATACAAAAATAATAATTTCGTACGATTCTCACAAAGGAGAGAGAGAGAGAGAGAGAGAGAGAGAGAGAGAGACCTGACAATTTCCCTCCTTCTCTCTCTCATTATACGACCATCTAACTGATCCTCCTACATTTACCTACCTAACTACCTAACTACCCCTATACCTCATCCCCATATGGCGCTCAACCGGTAATCCTAACAAGAACACCAGTTAAGATACACTAACTTTCCTTACGAGGGACTAGAGCGTCCTTCACCCTTCACCCGATTACCCCTAACAAGATCATCAGCCTCCCCGTTAACAGACGAGTGGATGTTGTTGTCAGAAATGAAAAGGAAATGGTGGGGGATATTTTTTTTTTCCCTAGCAGCTGTTTTTATTTTTATTTTTGTTATCATCATCAGATTACGACGATGCTGCTGCCTATCAAGAGTATAAGGAGAGATAATAAGGGGTATAAGGTATAAGGGAGAGAGTAACTAACTAGCCACCACTACTACAGGCACACTAATACTGACAGTCTTAATTTTTATTTCTCATTTGATCTCACTAATATCAACCGAGAACCTCACACCCATTAGTTAGAAAGTAACCTAATCGACGCTAATTATCACCATCTATATATTTTGACTAACTAATGGGAAGGACACAAGGCAGGTGATCTGAATGTACAGACTCGACTATTTTAGGTCAATATCATTACCAATTAAAACAAGTAAATTTCGTAAAATAAATCACTTATTTACGCCATAAGAAAAGTGGTATTATAATCATTAAAGACAAAAAGAATAAAAAAATATATTTGACGACCCAGTAGTGGTGGTGGTAGTAGTAGTAGTGTGTTTAACAGGACCAGGGACCAGGAAACACTTAACCTGGGACGCGGAATGATACCTTTGATACACCTGACGCCCTCCCACCACCACACCTTCCTACCCTGTCTCCGTGTGACAACAAAATCCATCTTCTCCACACACCCCAAACACCTGTTTCTCACACACTCCCCCAAACACGGCCCCCTCCCCAAACTCTCAAACCCGTTCTGCCCCACACACCCCCACACCTGTTCCTGCTCCACACCCCCACACCTGTTCCTGCCCATTACCCACTCCCCACACCCGTTCCTGCCCCACACTCCCCAAACACCCGTTCCTGCCCCACCACCCCCAAACACCGTTCCTGCCCCCCACACCTCCCCCAAAACACCGTTCCTGCCCCACACACTCCCCCAAACACCTGTTCCTGTCCCACACACTCCCCAAACACCCGTTCCTGCCCCACACACTCCCCAAACACCCGTTCCTGCCCCACACACTCCCCAAACACCCGTTCCTGCCCCACCATCCCTCAACCACCGTCAACAAGATACAAAGAAAGTAAAGCGGCCCTACAAGAAAGTAACATTAGTGGGTAGCTAAAACACATAGAGTACCCCACCAAGGGAACAAAATGCCTCATACCTTAACACAATGCTCGCCCTCGGGTGGAAAATACACGACTGACTGAAAAAAAAATAATAATAATAAAACAAATAAAAAAAAAAATAAACACTCGACTGAAAACCTATGATAAGCTGCCAGAACAAAGAGGAACAATTGTGTGCCGTGGAAGTATAAAATTTTCCATTGTATACTGAAATTTGTCCCGGCAAGAGCATAAATATACTTCAGTCAACAGGGAGAATGAATAGCCAACCTACAGAGGGGGGTATTAAATGCTTTAGCCAGAGAAAAATTGTTATCTGACTTAAGCTGGAGGATCTGTTGAACGGCTCACGCCAGCGCCAAGTGTTAATTGTTTAGGGCAAGTAAGTTATTGATGTTCTGTTTACATTTATACAACATTACACTGACTCAAAACTGAATACAATGTAACACCACAACACACTGTATCCTTACTGTATTACCACTACACTGTGACCCTGAGTCATTAATGGTTACAGAAGACACTAACCAACCCAACCCAACTTAACCCAATCAATTTAGCCTATCCAAGATCTAGTTTTTACAAGACGGTGGGGATGCCAAGCAGGGATTAAATAGATCATCAAATTGTGTTGTTCTCCCGTAACTACCTCGAGGATAATAATAATCAACGGAAATAGTTTAGACGAGGTGCGCGCCTTAACTACCTACTGTAGGACGTTACACCATAGAACATAAATGCTTTCTTACTTCATGAAATCGACGAAAAATCCAACTCGTCTAGACCCGGGTTACTCAAATGGCGGACAGCGAAGAACTTTGGTGTGGACGCCAGTAACTCCCTCTCTCTCTCTCTCTCTCACTCTCTCTCTTAAAAAAAAGAGGGTTTTCTTTTAGAAACCCGTGTGTAGTTAGTATCATTTTAAAATTATTTAATTTACAATAATTCTCGCTGGTAGCCGGAAATAAATCATAATTTGCACTCTTGTGTGTTTGTTATTATGCCAAATTAAATGGAAGCCTTTCATCTGCACCTTTGCCACTTGGGAAATGTATATGACTGGACCTTCACAAATAGTAATTAAGTTACCTTGATCTAGACTATGACTTAATTAACTTTTACTCTATAACAAGAAACTCTATAACAAGAAACTCTATAACCTGAAAACTAATTACCGGTATAACTCCTATATGACAGCTAATTATTTTGTTGTTAAAGATCTTCATAAAATCTCTAATGAATTTAACAAAAGCTTAAGCCATGACAGTACGTAAATAAGAGTAATATAACACGCCATCTTACCTCATTCCTTGACACAGGTGATTGCTTCCTCCAAAACACCATTATATAATATAAGCTTTGGTATAATTATTTCTCCCTTCAGAAACTCGAGAAGGTCTGCCTGACATACCGATAGTACTTGACCTTTACTACAACACAGACTCTTAAGAATATACTGAGTAGATCCCCATCCCACCCCACCCCACCTCACCTCACCCCACCCCACCCCACCCCACCTCACCTCACCCCACCCCATCCCACCCCACCCATCCCACCCCACCTCACCCCATCCCATCCCACCCCACCCGACCCCAACATTGTCCTGATCAAGTGCCGCACGGTCCTACCCCACTACCTCCACCTCTTCCTCTTCTTCCACCACCTCCTCCTCCTCCTCCTCTTCTTCCAACTCCTCATTCTCCTCCTCTTCTTCCATCTCCTCTTCTTCCACCTCCACTATCACCTCCTCCTTCTCCTCCTATTCTGCCACCTCCTCCACCACCTTTTTCTCTTCTTCCACCTCCACCACCTCCACCTGCCCTCCATAACTCCACACCTAACCTAACCTAACCTAACCTCACCGTAAATACTGAGAGTAAAAACTTTTTCTGATATTGACCGGATCAACTATAGAACCCGGATGTAATTACAGAGCGAGGGAAAACAAACCCCATTCAGTAACTTAGATTATATTTATCAAAGGTAATTTGTTTGTCTTCTATTGATGAAGGGAGAATATTGTTAATTATTTTCACCTCTGTGTAAATATAACGTTTGACCTCTATAACTATTTAGCTTTTGACCTCTCTCTAAGTATTTTAACTACCTTTTATATTATAACCTTTGATCTCTCCATAACTATATAGTATATTTTTTTTACCTCTATAACAACTTTGAGTATTTTGTATAATATATATTTCGACATCTATAACTACAGTATATCTTTCTGTAAAAAATGTCTCATATCTTTGTTTTCCTTAAATTCTGAAGAAAAAACAGCGTTTTCTATAATCCCTCCCAAAAAATTATTACCTTGTCAACACCGTAACTTTATCCGTTCCGAAAAAAAAAATATATTAATATAACACAAGATATCACACTAGTATCATTACGTCTCTGTTATATAATTTATTGGTGACTTATAATCCACCCCTATAACAAGTACCAGACTC